TTCTTCTTCTTCTTCTTCTTCTTCTTCTTCCAAGATCCTCAACGGTTCATTCATGAGATTTTTTTGTTCCACAGCTTCTGATTTCTTACCTTCATGAACCTGTGTTCGCTCCAATGCTCCTTGTTCCTCTACATTTTGAGTGAAGATCACCTTTCTTTTATTTGGACACATGATAGCATAATTTCCATCCTTTAGACAAGGGTAACAACAACAGCTCGTAGGCTTGATTGTAGGTAGCTCTTGGATAGTAGAAAGTGGAGTGGAGGATGCAGTTTTGGTAGGTTCTTGGAGAGGAACATGTTTAAGGGTTTCTTGGGTAATATGCTGATGGGTTGATGGGTGGTTTTTGGAGTGGGTGCGGGTTGTGGAGATGGCAGCAGCTATTTTAGTTTCTTGGGAAATATTAGGAGGGTGTAAGATGGTTGTTTTATGCTGGTTTTGGGCCGCGGGGATGGGAATAGCTTGTGGAGTGCTTTGGGCAGTGGTTAAGGTGATAAGTGGTGGTGGTGAAGACATGATTTTGGAAAGGTTTTGGGGCAGGGGTGTTGAGATGGTGATGGGGTAAATGATGGAAGTTTGTTGTGGGGGTAGTGGTGTGGTTTTGGAAGAAGTTTTGGATGGGAAGGAGTAAATGTTCATAGGTACCTTGAATTTGTAATCTCTGGGCAAGAACTTCTTGGTTAAAAGCTTTCGCATCTTTTCCCAAGTTTGCACTTTAGCTTTTCCCTCAAGTTTTCTTCTAGAGGTGATGTTAGTCCACCAAGTAGAAGCATGTCTTTGAAACTTGGCCGTCACTAACTTGATCATCTTATCTTCAGGAACATCTTTGATGGTAAAGATGTGTTCAACCTTGGCTAACCACTTTAAGAACTTTTCCAGGTCAGTTCTTCCTTCAAAAGTAGGTACTTCCACTGAGTTTGTGAGCTCCTTGACTTGTTTCATCACAAGTTCAACTTCCTTCTTTAGTTTCTCCTGGGCAGTAGCTAACTCATCTTGAAACATGTTTGGAGAAGAGCTTGGCATGGTGGATATATGGCTTGAAAATTGATAGTAACAAAAGAGATGAGGGAGGCGTGTAAAGATGATCCCTTAGGGATGTTCAACACAAAGCTTTGATACCAGATGTTAGGGGTGAACCGGGGGTCTTATCAAGTTGGAAAGTTGATGGGGAATTGGTAAAGGAAATGAATGGGCAGTGTTATAGGCCGAGTTGGTGAGGGATGAAAAGGGGAGGTATGGGTGTTCTCTTGGCTTGAGAATGCAAAGGAAAATGCAGGGGATATGTTCGAAGAGGCCTGGGTGAAATGGTGATATATGCAGGAGGAGTTCTTTTTGGTATTTTTGGATGAAAGAAAAGAATTAAGTTTAAGAAGAAGAAATGGAGAGATATGAAATGGGAAGAGGTAAAATGAAGGGATAAACCAATTTGGTGTTTAAGAGATATTACACACTCTTATCTTAACTTGGGGTTAAGTCTAGAACTTAATTAAGATATAACACACTTAATTAAATATTTAGAACCTAAAACTCACACTTAAGATAACCACTCTTAAGATATAGATTTAGGAATTTAAATAGCAAACTCAACAAGTGTATTACTAAATTGAAAATGGAATTACAATCTGAGTTTCACAAAATGGCCTAAGGCCGAAATAAATACACACACATAGGGGGGAAACTTCCTAGAAACATCCACTCACAAATCACAAGAATAATATCCATTTGTTAATGTTTTCTTAATAGAATGAAATTAGGGATTTGGTCTTTGATTTTCATGGCTGGTGGCTTGTCCTTTAGTGAGGAAAATCACAAGGAAATAAGTGATGATTCTTGGGAAATAATGGGGGACAAAGGGGATGGGTGATGGTTGGTTTTATTGGCCTTATATCGGGTCATTCATGGAAGGTATGTGGGGACTGATTTGGTGGGTGGAGTGTCAATAAACTCACAAAAGTCTTTTGTCCTTTTGTTATTGTTTATTCAGCCTAGGTGGGAGACACAAGGGGGACAATGGTTGGTCAATGTTTGGGAATAAAAGAGGGGTTGTTTTTGGTCATTAAAAGGGGACAGGGCTGGGTATTATTTGTGGGTATTTTGGAGTTATAGCTTTGGGTTATTGTGAGGGAAAACATGGGCAGGAAGTAGGGGCTGGAGGTGGGTCATGGTTTTGGCTCTTTGTGGGTGTTTGTGTTTGGATTGTGAGGTTTATTTGGGCAGGGAATGAAAGGAAGGAAGAGAGGGTTTTACTGGTTTATTAAAAGACTTAAAAGAAGGAAAATAACAACAAACAAAAAGGTTTTGGTTTACACACTCTTATTTTCGGCCATGGCTAAAATAAGAGTAGGAAAAATTTTATTTTGAAAAGGAAATATTTTGGATGTTTAGGGTGGATTTAGACATGGTTGGGGCGGCCAAGGGGGTTTGAAAACAACAAGGGTGTTGGTTGGTGTTCTTGAATGGAAGAAAGGACTTAAATCAACCCAATAAGGATTATAACACTTAGCCATAAATCCCTTAATTTGTTTGAACACATGTGGCACGTCCATGAGTTTGGGTAGGGCATGCCCGGATATAACAGACAGCGTTCAAGACGAAGTTTGGGTTATACGAATGGTTGCTTATGTCATTTGGATTAACCAATGCCCCGCGCACGTTCATGCGGCTTATGAATCAAGTCTTGAAGCCTTTTATAGGTCATTTTGTCGTTGTCTACTTTGACGACATTCTGATTTATAGTAAAAATGAGGAAGAGCATGCTAATCACCTCACTTTGGTGATTAAGAAGTTGGACGAGGAGAAACTCTAGGGCAACCTCGAGAAGAGCCAATTCTTTGCGTATGAAACAGAGTTCTTGGGATATTTTATCTCAAGTGAAGGCATACGGGTGGACGAAAAGAAGACGCAAGCCATTAGAGAATGGCCGACCCCCACCACTATACAACAAGTTCGGAGTTTTCATGGCCTTGCCTCTTTCTACCGGAGATTTGTGAAGGATTTCAGCACCATCACGGCACCTATCACGGATTTGACGAAAAATCAGAAGTTTGAGTGGAACTCCAAGGCCCAACAGGCCTTTGAAACAATCAAGGAGCGATTAACACATGCCCCCGTGTTAGCCCTTCCTAGTTTTGACAAACTATTCGAGGTCGAGTGTGATGGCTCGGGAGTTGGAATCGGGGCTGTCCTGTCCCAAGAAGGGCACCCGGTGTCGTATTTTAGCGAGAAGCTAAACGACACGAGAAGGAGGTATTCCACATACGACAAGGAGTTCTACGCATTGGTGTGGTCACTTGAGCATTGGCGTCATTAC